CACCAAAAATCTCAAGATGATCCACTAAAACTTTGAAACAAGGTGGCGCCATTGTGGCTGCACATGTGAAAGTGCTGTCACATATTCTTAATTTGTGTCCAAGTTCTTGGATTTACATTCTTAAATCTTGGAGCTGTGTGTACCTTTAACTTTCTAGATCAGGAAAGTGATACAATTGTCCCTCAAAATTTTGGGTTTGAAGTGGAATTTGAAACCTAACAACCTGTGATCTTGATTAAGTTGAAGACTTGAATTCCCTTGATTTTCACTCAGAGGATTAATTAGATTTCAAGGTGACTAATGTATTTTAATGTTTACCTGTTCTTATTGTATCATGGTTTGACCTACTTACGAACACAACTCGTGGATTTACAACAATCATCAACTAAAAGAACACTATCTCACAACGATTTTGTGCGTCTTAAAGAAGTTGGTATCTTTACAAAATTTAGAGAGAAGCGTTCTGACACCCAGAAGTAAAAGCAATCTTACTCTCAGACTCTTCCGGGGTCTTTGGAATGCCCAGTCTGTTAGAAGCAAGACCCTTTGACATATTTGATTGCATATCCGAATGTGAATTTGATGTCTTTTTAATAACCGAAACATGGTTGTCTCAGAGTGGTGACTGATGCTTACCTATTGCAATAATTGTAATAAATGTATTTTTCGATGCCAATAAAATCGATATCTAATTTTAAATGCCTATGGATTCTGATCACCATTTCGGAATGAAAATAAGAGTACTGTATAGAATATTATGAAACAACCTCGTCGCATATGTTTAAAAGCCGGTTGGAGAAATTATTAAAATGGAATGTCAACTCCTATTATAATCAATGATATTTAAATAAACCTGAAGTATGTTCTCCGAAAAAATCTGTAGTCTGAGGATTTTGAACATCATTGTGTCAACTGGCGTGATTTTGATTCTTCAATTGTATGTGGTTTCCTCCCACTGCTAAAGACGCCTACGCGCAAGCGAATTATTGAAATAAAATTGAACCATGTGTTAGTCCAGAAATGACCTAGTTTGTATCGAGTGGACGTTAAACCCCATTCCTCTCCCCCCATTCTCTCTCGGAAAGATTTGTACACACCAAGATATCTTGATAAACTCTTACCAATAAAGAACTGAGGTAGTGTTGATTTATGGAATCTTTGAAAAATCATTCGCGGTGCAAATGTAATTTTAATGATAATATCACCCAAGAGCAATGGAATGATCATTTTCACAAATTACTCGGCGAAACCATCTTTGATACTGACGAAACTCTTAATGAACATGTGAAAGAAACTGTACACAAAGACATTGTAAGTGAAGATAACATGGTTGGTGAACCAATAACGAGTGGCGAAATGTCCAGTGGTCTCAAATATTCCAAACACTAGTTCCGCAGATCCTGATGAAATTTATTATGGGTATTTAAGATATTCTCTCACTAACATTTGACCATTGTTGTGTCAACTACTTCACAGGATGTTGGCAATTTTTATTTATTCATCATCATGGTATGAAGCTGTAACATTTCCCCTCTATAAACAAAGTTGCAAATCAGATCCATAAATTAAAGAGGAATTGCTCTACTATGTGCTTGGAAAGGTGTGCACAAAGATACCAGACAATAGATTTTATGACTGGTGTGAAATTGAGAGTAGCCTGTAGTGCCAAAGATAACATTTTTACATTTCATAGTTTAACACAGAAGTTCTTGATCTGGTTTTAAGGGTGTTCCCCAGTCGTTTGACAGTACACAGCACCATCTACTAAATATGTCTTGCTGATGAATAATATTCAATGTACAATCAGTTTACAAGGAATTTAGATGTAAGGTACTTGGTAAATGTTATCTCTACACCCTGTTTCATTATGTTCATATTATTATTGATGACAATTTAATGACAACCGTTGCAGAATACATGTTCAGAGCCACAAATATGAGAGATAATTTTTGTAAGGCCACCTAAACTACTGTTTATATTTCGCTAGAATAATTATTGAAAATATTTTGACCAAATTAATGTATTTCATACTTGTTTTCCATTTATATACATGTAATATATGGGCTGCTGGTCGGTTATTGTAATAAATATATTTGAAAGGAATATGTATGCGCGTGAAGGCTATCACTCGTCTATTTTTGATTTTTTTAACCCCATAAGATGAGAATTTTTTTGATGTTAATATTTTATACACATTTCTGCAAATTAATTCAGACGTGGTTGATTCGCTTGCATTTAGCAATAATTATGGGGGGAGTTTCTTAGTTGTATTCAGATCTTTTATTGTATGAGTGCTGGCTGAAAAGTTCTAAGCCTGAAAAAGATAGATCACTTGGATTGAAACCAGCTTTTGCCACTAACAAGTACCTGCAACTTAAAGGACTAACTCCAACACACATGGTCTCCACTTTACGGGATGATGCCCCTTCCTTTTCCACAGTAAACAATTAGATACAATAAAAGTGGGTAATTAATGGTGATACATTGCAATATTTATCACTGAAATAACTGACACTGTTTGAATTCGCATAATGTATTAGACATTTAATAATGGATTTAATTAAATAATTAATTGTGAGGATATTAATTATTTAGAATTTACAATATTACAGATATTTCAACACGGAAATATTAGTCAAATACTAGTAAACAACGCTGTAGTTTGTGATCTTTACATTGTGTGAATCATAAAAAGGGAGAAAGAGAGGGAGGGGAGTATTTGACGTCCACTCAACACAAACTAGATCATATGGTAACTGTTTATTCAATTATTTGCTGGTGGTCAGGGGTCTTTAGCAGCGAGGGAAAACTGGTGAACGAAAGCGGACAGAATCCTTATTTTTGACTGGCAATTTGCATGTGGTCTGTCGCAATAATAACACGTCGCCCACAGTCTGATGAGTCAACACTCCTTTTATGGACTACAATAAACATACAATAAATCATTTATGATGTTTGTAACAATATTGATAGGGGGCATATGCTCTATATTAACAGATATTGGTTGTGAATATGGGAATAGATGTTGGCAATATTATCTGCTTTGCTTTTTTGCAATTTTAGTACATGTATGAGAGAGAGAGAGAAATGGGGTTTAACGTCCACTCGACACAAACTAGGTCATTTCGGGACAAACATATGGTTCAATTTTATTTCCATAATTCGCTTGCGCGTTGGGGTCTTTAGCAGTTGGATGAAACCGGAGGACCCGGAGAAAACCCACGAGGTTGGACAGGCGACCCTACTCCTTGTCACGTACAACCGGGGATTCGAAACCACGCCAGTTGACTCAATGACAGACTTAATGATACAGCGCGCACGTGCTAACCACTAAGCCATCCAACCCCCCAGTACATGTATGAGTCAAATTATTGTTTTCAGATAAATTTGGAATAGCAGAAAACTATGACACTTTGATACATGAAATGTTCTATAGGTTAATAAACATGATTTTTTGATGGGTTAAAATTATATCATGCCATCACTTGTGTTGGAAAATTCCTATTGCATCATTTGGCTTGGTATCAAATCATATCAATAACTGAACAGATCTGAGTGTGATAGACTTCAAGGCCAATGTCAATATGGGCCCTATAAAAGAGACTCTATCAGGCCTTTAAGATCAGGGCCCTTTTTCACTAAAATCGATTTTAACTAAAATCAAACTGAAATTTTAAATTTTAGACGTTTCACGAAGATCGATTGTAACTTAAAATGCAATTTTAATAGATTTTAGTTAAAATTGCTTGCGCTCGCGCAGTGCACAATTCCGGCGAGGGCACTTTAGGGTGTAAGCATACACGCTTCGAAACTGAAAACTGTTGCCAGGTTGAACTAACCGTTACAATACCAATGAGGAGAGTTTCATACGTTGTAACAATGCCTGCACATGGCCAGACAGTCGTAGAGAAATGAAATAAATAAGTTTATTGCGTGTTATTTGTTTTGAAATGTATCAGTTGGTTGGCCTTGAACTTGCATGTCGCTTTCGTGACCTTGGCATTGGATTTACTCGCAGGCTTCAATGGAAATAATGCGTATCGATAAACTAAATGGCTTGAATTTCGTAGTTTTGTTGTATTTTGGATAACAGAAACTATTGAGAAATGTTCACAAACATGTAATATGTCTGACTCAAACGATTAATCTAGACTAAAGTATTGTCGAATTTTAAAAGTATTTAATAACTTTTAAACTAATACACGAAATAACCAATGTTCCGATGTCAGTCCCATGGACCATTTCAATAATAATTTGAAAATGTCAAAGTGCCACACTCTTTATTGGATAATACCTATCTATCTTATTAAATTAAAATGATTTTTTCACAATATAAAATACCCTTGGCTCCTATTTAAATCATCATAACCTCAAAATCATAATTAATACTTTGCATATGGCGTATCTAGTATTACAGGACTAACGGGGTTTCGATTCCCCGGTTGTACGTGACAGGGAGTAGGGTCGCCCGTCCAACCTCGTGGGTTTTCTCCGGTTCCTCCCACTACTAAAGACCCCAACGCGCAAGCGAGTATTCAAATAAAATTGAACAATGTGTTAGTCCCGAAATGACCTAGTGTGTGTCTGTGGACGTTAAACCGCATCTCTCTCTCCCCCCTCTCTCTAGCATAATTTATACTTGAATCATATGGTAATATATAAAATAGTAACAAAGAGTTTTGTTTACTGGGGTTTTGATTGTTTTTTTGTTCTTGGTATTTTAATTTGGGGCGTCATCTAATTGCTTATATTTCCCATGCAATGAAAAGAAATTGAATGAAAATTATTTTTGTGAATAATAGTATGTTTAAATTATATAACCCGGGGCATTGGCAATATATCATTATTCCAAATATATCTATATCTCGCAATAGATCTCACAACGTAGCTCTAATTAATGTTTGTTAATGTCGTGATTTTAAGTTAGGAGAGGGTGACGGCAGTCCTAAGTTACAATAGATTTTAGTTAAAATTGTCCCTAAAATAGTTTTGTGAAACGCCACTATTGTAAGTTAAGATACTATTTTAACTTACAATATTATTTTAGTGGATATTACCTAATATGCTTCAGATCATTTTGTGAAACGCCTCTATCTTAAGTTAGGATAAAATTTTAGTTTAAGACGATTTTAAGGAGATTTAAGTTTTTGTGAAAAAGGGCCCTGATATCATTGGGTTCCGGGCAGATACCATGCGAGTTCCGTATGACCATCTGAGTTCATAGAGACTGTCGCTGAATTCTCGGTTCTTTAGATGACCATATTACGATGTAGCGGTTTCCTGAGTCTAGCCATGCTAGTTGGACTTTTACAGGAAATGTTAATTCTAAAGTATGCTAATGTAATCTATTATGTATTGTAACCATATGTATCCAACCTGACATAAAAATGTAGAACTGAACTGTTGCATTGTTATTCCTGGTAAGAAAACCGTCTTAACTACCGAGATAGTAAGAAGAAAATACACAACGTGAAAAGGAATCCAAAGAGAATTACAAATAGTAGAAGATAACAAGGCTAACACGATCTGTGTCAGGCGAGAATATGTCGGACGTCGGATGTGGCGCTTTGCGCTTTCCGTATCTGACCGACGACTTATATTGTTACATGTTCCATGAGATCAAATATTAACCTTTATTCATTCAAATCAATTTAACCATGTTGATTCTAGTGCAATATCTTTGGAATAATGCTTCAATGTGGCGCCAGTATGACTGCAGAAAAGATGTTTTGTGAACTACTTGGCGCACTTATCTAGGATAATCTTGTGACAAATATTCCTACTTGTTTGCTACTTAAGATACATCCAAGTCGATAAAATTGTCAAAATTAGATCGAGTTCCTGACAAAAATCAATTTAATCTAGTTACTGTGAACACGACATGAATCTGTTCTCTATCATTTGTGGCTTGATTCGGACATAGATCTCGGACAGAAATTGACTTTAATATACGTAAGTTTGATGGTCCCGTCCTTCTAAAACGAATCCGATTTCAATTTGTGACTTCCGTGGTTTGCGTTCGTGGGATTAAAATTGGCAGTTATCACAAACTAGTCCTAGTAAACGTTCTTGACCTTTTTTTGCCATATTGAAAAGGTTTAGGTTTGTCATTTCAATAATACAGTGCCTTAAAAACTGTTCTTCCAATAAGTTCCATAATGGTTAAGAGTTAGTTAAAAGTCCCTTAATATGGTTTACAGCGTCAGTGATTAAAAGTTGAAGGCATTTCATTGGGATTTTTCTTGCGTATGACTCTCCCCAGATAAACGTTACCTGAAAAGACAAAGAAGAGCCAGCAGCAACACAGAACAGGCAATTAAAACAAATTAAAACATTTATAGAAATAATACATGGCATTAAATTTTAGACATAAATTAAATTAAATTGATTGATATGCACTGTCATTTTTAATAATGGTTGTGTAGGTCCCTATTCTTTTGTCATTATTTTCCCTGATTTGTTGTTATATTAAATCATACAGTAGGCTGAACCGCCAGACTGTTCTACAACACAAGTTACTTCCTTTGTAACTCGATATGTAGTTCCCTATCTTAATGTCTGGACCCGGTTCCCAGAAAATTCTTACAAGTCATGTTTCACTTTTGCTTAAGTAAGAAACTTTATAAAATACCGTCTCTAGAAAGTTCTCAAGCACAAGTCAAGTACGAGTCTAAGCACATTGTGACTGGTAAACTGAGACTACGTGCTCTCTAACGTCATAAAAACAATTTTGGTATGCGAATTACGTCATAAATTGGTCGGCTGCATAGTTATAAATAGATCAATGACATTAACTACCCGGCAAATAGTCGATTTAGATGCATTTGACATGTCCCCCATACACATATAAAATGTGCCACAAGCTAAAAAAAAAGAAAAAAAAAAAAAGAAGATTGGTTGCCAGGCAACGAAACATACGCCCACAGCAGCTAAGTCGTCGGAGCAGTCAATAAGAGTTGTCACATATTTTCTCTATTCTGACAAAGAGTAACAACTCATTAAGTAAATTATCGGAAAATCATTAGAAATTGTTTGGCTTTTAGTTCTGCCCCATACCAACGTTTAGTATACGGAACATTTTATATCATGGATTTAGCTGTTCAAGTTACCAAAATTCATTGAAAATCAATATACTTGTTCGTATCAAGACCTTAAACACTGTGTATAAATTTAAAGTCAATCGGATATTAACTTTAGCCTCTAGAGCGTCCATAAGATATTTCAAAGTGATCAAGGGTAATAACTCTGGCAGTAATTATCAGATATCGTTGAAAATCAATAGGCTTTTTCGTCTCATGACCTTAAACACTAAGTATAAATTTAAAGTCAATCGGATATTAACTTTAGCCTCTAGAGCGTTCACAAGCAAGTGTGGACGCCGGACCGGCGGACGACAATACGACCATATTTCAATGTGGGCGTAAAAAACAAGCACATGCAAACATACGGAATAATTGTGAGAGCGACTGATCTTAAAGTAGCCCGTGTTTGTGTTGTTTACTAATTTGTAAATAACTAAAATGGTTTTAGGGTAGAAGCGAAATTTTATATAGCATTCTTCTCGAGAATATGTTTCTAAGGGATTTTCTCTTTCTTTCAATTGTCTCTTTGGTATCAAAATATGTATTGAAATGCCGTCGAATAACTCTACGGTCAGTCATCTTGTTTGAATCAGAAACAGGCTTAAGGTTGGTAAGCAAGCTGTATACTTTGCTTGGGACTTGTGCTTAGATTGACAAATTTAAGAACGAAGTTGTGCTCAAGATTTTTTTTCTTGGAACACATAATAACGTGCTTGTGGTTACACTGAAGTCTACTTAAAATCTAAGCACAAGAACGTTCTTAAGAACACGAAATACGATAAGTTTATTTAAATGCAAAGTCTACTTAAAATCTAAGCACAAGAACGTGCTTAAGCATTTTCTAGGAATCGGGCCCAGGTGTTATTAAAGCATACGGCTGGCTTAGCCGCCAACCTGGACTACACAACCAGTTATCTTTCCATGACTAGTGCTCTTTTTCGCAACTAACTTAACAGTTAATTCCCGATTCTACTATGAAATTTGAGATCTCTTCATAAACTTTATATGACATATTCCGAGGGGGCGAGGGAGGGTATATTTTGGAGGGTATATTGAAGTTTGGCATCTTCCATTAAGCCTTTTACTGGGAGTCTTTTCTCTTCCCATTTATTGGACGCAATGACGACATGATTAACGGTCAGAATGTGGCCGCATTCGCACTCTACTGGTTTATATTTATGGTCGGTAATTAAATCTTCCCAGTCTTGTGATTAAGCCACAAAGTTTACGAGATGGGTGATTGACCTCAGTCTTTACAATCAGATTGTTATTTAATTTGAATCTAAAAGTATTTGCTCTGGCCAACTCAGTTTTCCATTCTGATTTAAAGATACGTTCCTTCCTAAAGTTTTACGCCCACTTCTACCTAAGGTGATATCGTAGACAATGAAATGAAATGGGGTTTAACGTCCTACTGGTCTGCTCCTATACTGGGCTAATGAAGACGCGCATACGCCATACAGTGTGCTATGAGGGAAATTTTCCCGGGCAGCGGCACTATCGCCTACTCTTATATCGAATTCCAACTGCCAGGGGATATTTTACGTGCATTCCAATATATACACGGGACCTCGGTTTTTCGTCCCATCCGAACGACTAGACAGCTGTCCTTGTCAGGCCCTCCGTCCTGCATCACTGACAAGGGGGAACCACGCCGGAAAATCTGGATGAACTTTCTCGACCAATGCAGGGATCGAACACCCAACCTCCAGGCTAGCGAGCCAGCGCCTTACCCACTTAGCCACGCGATCCCCAATATCGTAGACAAGTAAGATACGTTGTTGGTGTTGTTTATTAAAGATTTAACGTCCAATACATTAAATATGATATAATAGACAGGTTGATTTATTTAAATTATTTACACTCAATGGGTTGTTGGTGTTGTTTATTAAAGATTTAACGTCCAATACATTAAATATGATATAATAGACAGGTTGATTTATTTAAATTATTTACACTCAATGGGTTTAAAATTGTTAAAAGCATACAATACAAACGTCCGTATATATCAAAAGTCTCCTTAAAATTGGTAAAAACACAAAATAAAAAGTCCTTGTATAATAAAAAAAAGTAAATTTAAAGCACACTTATAAAATCGCTGTCGTCAGAAGAGAGGGCGGGTCATCTTCTCCCTTTGTCACAATAAAAACATGTTAAAACAGGATGTCCAGCTGACTGATGTTTGGCGTCATCAGTGCGGATAGAAAAAAACCGTGGGGAAAAAGAATCCGCTTGCCTTACGTGGAAAAGCGAAGTGCTCGCAGTAAAAACCACATAGCTTGACCCGTGGATTATTAACATATTAAAAACTGTTCGTCCAATAAGTTCCATATGGTTAAAAGTTAGTTAAAAGTCCTTTAATACGGTTCACAGCGTCAGGGATTAAAAGTTAAGGTCATTCCATTAGTATTAGGGCTTTTCTTGCGTATGACTCTCCCCAGATAAAAGTTACCTGAAAAAAAAGAATAGCCAACAGCGACACAGAACGAGGCAATTAAAACATGTATAGAAATAATGCATGGCATTAATTTTTAGACATAAATTAAATTAAAATGATTGATATACACTGTCATTGTTGATAATGGTTGTGTAAGTCCCTATTCTTTTGTTATTATTTCCCCTAATTTATTATTATATTAAATCATACAGTAAACTCAACCGCCATACTGCCCTACAACAAAGGGGGGTTGGATGGCCGAATGGTTAGCACGAGCGAGCTGTATCATTGAGTCAACTGGCGTGGTTTCGAATCCCCAGTTGTACGTGGCAAGGAGTAGGGTCGCCTGTCCAACCTCGTGGGTTTTCTCCGGGTCCTCCGGTTTCCTCCCACTGCTAAAGACCCCTACGCTCAAGCGAATTATTGAAATAAAATTAAACCATATGTTAGTCCCGAAATGACCTAGTTTGTGTCGAGTGGACGTTAATCCCCATTTCTCTCTCTCGCCCTACAACAATAGTTCCATCCTTTGTAACTAGATATGTAGGTCCCTATCTTAATGCCAATTTATTCTGGTATTATTAAAGCATACGGCTGGCTTAGCCGCCAACCTGGTCTACACAACCAGTTATCTTTCCATGACTAGTGCTCTTTTTCGCAACTAACTTAACAGTTAATTCCCGATTCTTCTATGAATTTTGAGATTGCTTCATAAATTTTATATGACATATTCCGACGGGGGGGGGGGGTATATTTTGGAGGGTATATTGAAGTTTGGCATCTTCTATTAAGCCTCTTACTGAAAGATTTTCTTTTCCAATTTATTGCACGCAATGACGACATGATTAACTGTCAGAATGTGGCCGCATTCGCACTTCACTGGTTTATATTTATGGTCAGTAATTAATTCTTTAGTTCTCGGTTAAGCCACAAATTTTGCGAGATGGGTGATTGACCTCAGCTTGTACAACCAGATCGTTATTTAATTTGAATCTAGAAGTATTTGCTCTGGTCAACTCAGTTTTCCATTTAGATTTAATCTTAGTTTTAACAATGCTGTTAAATCCATGAACGCTATATTTCAAATCTTCGGTCTCGCAGAGGCTGAGTCCTTTTCGAGCCAGCTTGTCTGCAGACTCATTGCCTACTGTGCCAACGTGGGATGGTATCCATGTAAATTCTACCGCTTTATTTTTTTTCGGAGGGAACAAACACTTGCTCGAATATTCTGAACAATTTCTGGTCTGGATGTTGTTTTATCATGTATTATTGAATTTATGCTGCTAAGGGAGTCTGACACAATGACTGCTCTTTGAATAGTGGGCGACAAAAGCCACTCAAGAGCTGTGGATATTGTCTTTAATTATGCGGTATGGATGGAACATCCATCTGGTAGCCTTTTTGATATATTAACATTAAATTCAGGAATGACTGCACCTAATGCAGTTTTGGTTGTGTTTGGATCGCACGATCCGTCCGTGGAGATTTTCACATGAGATGACCATTTTTCGTTCAAGAATTCCCTAGATAGCATTTGAGCTTGTTGTGGATTTTCTTTCTTCTAACAACATTGCTTAGGCTTATGTCATAGTGTGGGTTTAATAAAGTCCATAGGGCTTGATACGAAAATACCTTGTTGGTAATCTGATAGTGATCTAATCTTAGGTCTTTTAATAGATCATTTGCAACGGCCACGTCTCTGATTTAACATTTTCTTTGAATTTTTTCCTTAATGTTTTTGTACACTTAAATTT